GGATATTCCAAAAGATATCTAGCCGTCTTTCTCTGCAAATATTCTTGAGTTGTCCGTAGTTTTCTTCCTCCTGCCCTGCCCCTTTACACCCGATTCTGCTCCGAACCTCCTGGTAGGCACGGCCCTGAGGGCTTCTCTGGAGTGGGAAGGGGAGGGTGGGCTCGCTGCGAGGTGGGGTGCACGCCAGGCGATCTGTTGCATTGCCTTGCCTTGACTCCCCACCGCAGTTCATGGGGCTTTTCTTCATTGTTCCACAAGTTTGCCAATGCTTGTTTCTTTTTTCTGACTTAAAAGGGACATTTTTTGCTCTTTTAAGTCCTCCTTATGATTTTATGCTTCTTGAGGATTTTACTTTTTTCCAGTTGACTCCTAATTCTTTACATCCTCAGAATACTCATACATGTGTGCGAGTTTTCTTTTCATCTCTCCTTTTTATTTATTTTTAAAAAATGATTTATCTTATCATTATTATTTATTTTTAGAGAGAGGGGGAGGGAAGGAGAAAGAGTGGGAGAGAAATATCAGTGTGTGGTTGCCTCTTGCACGCCCTCTACTGGGGACCTGGCCTACAACCCAGGCATGTGCCCGACTGGGAATTGAACCGTCAACCCTTTGCTTCACAGGCCTGTGCTCAATCCACTGAGCTACACCAGCCAGGGCTCCCCTCTTTTTTAAACACTGCATTTTGAAGTGTCTCTGACATATACCAGAGTGCAGAGAATGACTTGCTGACCATGCCACGTTCCCCCCAAGTGACTCCCCTCGGTTCATCCCACCCTCTGTGATGCCCATGCTGGTTATTGTGAAACAAAGTTCAGGCGTCCTATCATTTCATCTATAAATATTTCCATGTATATTTCAAAGTGCTAAGCTTTTTTTTTTTTTTAAGTATTTACCAGTTTTCAAAGTAATGGGTTGGTTCCTTGTTTTCTCTAAAAATTACCATACAGATTTTATTCCCTGGATTAAAAACATAGTATTAAAAGACATGATATTAAATCATATTTGATGAACCATGGGTAAAGAATCCGCCTTATTATGTTCGAATTACCCATCACTGCCCAGTGGGAGCTTGATGCAGACCAGTCCCTGCGTCTCAAGCACAGAGTGGGAGGCCTCCTCCTATCCTGGTGTGAAGAAATGTCCCAGGTTCATCTTCAACATTTGCTGCTCCAGACCTGGAATTGGCCATTGTTTTAAAGTTTTTTTATTTGGTCTTTTATTTATTTTACTTATTTTAAAATATATTTTATTAATTATGCTATTTTTAAAAGATTTATTTTTAGAGAGGGGAAGGGAGGGAGAAAGAGAGGGAGAGAAACATCAATGTGTGGTTGCCTCTCATGTGGCCCCCACTGGGGACCCGGCTTGCAACCCAGGCATGTGCTCTGACTGGGAATCAAACCAGCGTCACCTTGGTTTACAGCCTGCACTCAATCCACTGAGCTCTGCCAGCCAGGACTGATTATACTATTACAGTTGTACCATTTCCCCCTTTATTCCCCTCCCCCCTGCGCACACCCTCCCACCAGCATTCCCCTGCTTTAGTTCATGTCCATGTGTCATAAGTTCTTTAGCTTCTACATTTCCCACACTATTCTTAACCTTCCCCTGTGGGTTTTCTACCTATCATTTATACTTTTTATTCCCTGTACCTTTTCCCCCATTCTCCCCGCTTCCATTCCCCTGTTGGTAACCCTCCATGTGATCTCCATTTCTGTGCTATTATTCCTGTTCTAGTTGTTTGCTTAGTTTGTTTCTGTTTTTGCTTTAGGTTTGGTTGTTATAACTATGAAGTTGTCTTTTTACTGTTAGCATATTTTATCTTCTTTTTCTTAGATAAGTCCCTTTAACATTTCATACAGTAAGGGCTAGGTGATGATGAACTCCTTTAACTTGGCCTTATCTGGGGAGTACTTTATCTGCCCTTCCATTCTAAATGAAAGCTTTGCTGGATAGAGCAATCTTGGATGTAGGTCTTTGCATTTCATGACTTGGAATACTTCTTTCCAGCCCCTTCTTACCTATAAGGTCTCTTTTGAGAAATCCGCTGACAGTCTGATGGGAACTCCTTTGTAGGTGACTGTCCCCTTATCTCTTGATGCTTCTAGGATTCTCTCCTTCATTTTAATCTTGGCTAATATAATTATGATGTGCCTTGGTGTGTTCCTTCTTGGGTCCAACTTCTTTGGGACTCTCTGAGCTTCCTGGACTTCCTGGAAGTCTATTTCCTTTGCCAGATTGGGGAAGTTCTCCTTTATTGTTTGTCCAAATAAGTTTTCCACTCATGGCTGTTCCTCTTCCCCTTCTGGTATCCCTATGATTTGGATGTTGGAATGTTTAAAGATGTCCTGGAGGTTTCTAAGACTCTCCTAATTTTTTTTGAATTTTTGTTTCTTCATTGTGTTCTGGTTGAATGTTTCTTCCTTCTGGTCCACACCATTGATTTGAGTCCCAGTTTCCTTCCCTTCACTGTTGGTTCCCTGTACATTTTCCTTTACTTCGTTTTTCATAGCCTTATTTTCTCCTCTAATTTGTGACCATATTCAGCCAATTCTGTGAGCATCCTGATCACTAGTGCTTTGAACTGTGCATCTGATAGGTTGGCTATCTCTTTGTTGCTTAGTTGTATTTTTTCTGGAGCTTTGATCTGATCTTTCTTTTGGGCCTTTTTTTTTTTTTTTTTTTTTTTTTTTTTTTGTCTCAGCACTCCTGTTATGTATGAGGGGCTGAGCCTTAGGTATTCACTAGGTATTCACCAGGGCGGGCAACCCTTCAATGTGTTGTGATGCTGTATGTGGGGGAGGGTCCGAGAGGGAACAGTGTTGCTAGCTCCACTCTCTGCTGGTTTTCAATCACTTCCCCTTCTACCCACCAGCAAATTGGGCCCTTGTGGTGCTGATTCCTGGGTGGGTGGGCTTTTGTACATTCTAGGGCCCTGTGGGTCTCTCCAGTGGACTCTCCTGTGAGGCTGGGAGTCTCTCCTGCTGCCACCTCAACCCCCATAGGTGTTTTCTGTCAGAGGTTTGAGGCTTTGTTTCCCCGCCGGGACCCTGGGTGGTGGGTCTGTCCTGCTCCCCTGTTGTTCCTCCCAGTTAATCCGCACATGATTGTGGGGCTGCCCGGCCCTCCAGCCGCCACATTGTCTCAAGTCCTGTCCACCCGGCTGCCCATCTCCGCCCCTCCTACCATCTGGATGAATGTTTCTTCTTTAACTCCTTGGTTGTTGGACTTCCACACATTTCAATTTCCCGTCAGTTTTCGTTGCTTTTTGTTTTTAAATGTGTTGTCCTTTTGGTTGTGCAAAGAGGCACCGTGTGTCTACCTGTGCCTCCATCTTGGCTGGAAGTTTATTTGGTCTTTTATATCATGTGTAACAATTACATAGTTACTAAGTGAAATTAACAAAATAAGGTATTTCTTTTTAATCCTAACCTGGGGACTTTTTTTAGCAATTGATTTGAGAGGGAAACATTGATTAGTCGCCTCCCACACATGCCCTCACTGGGGATGGAACCTGCAACCTTTTGTCCCACAGGATGAGATTTTAACTGATTGAGTCACCTAGCAGCATGGCAAAATAAAATATTTAAACATATTGCTCTCCCCCATATCTCCCCTTCCCCGTGATCACAGTTGGTCTCGTCTCCTCAGGAACCTGCCCACAGTGGGATGGGTGCAGTGGCAGGTAACCTGGAGGCTTCAAACAACGCTCCTCGTCTTCCTCCTCTTGGAGGCAGGGAGCGTTCCCCTCTAGGGCTTTTCTGGGAAGGGTCCCCAGTGGGTGGTGGCTGGGCCAGCTCAGGACGGGACCTTCATCTAGGCCCCAAGCCCACCAGCAGTCTCGGCAGCTCCTACAGCGACAATGTGCTTCGGTGATTTCACCGAGTATTTTAACCCAGGGCGTCACCTGTGAAACTGGTGCTGCACAACCTGCTGAGCCCGGATGCATCACCTTGGCAGCGACGGATGAGCCAGGTCCCGTCCTCCCCCAGAGATGCGCAGCGACCCGTGCAACATGGCTGGGTCTTTGTCCAGAACAGAGCTCTGCAGACGCAGGTCCCTGAGAGTCTCAGGGCAACGTATGACAGTGAAACTTATTCTATTGTAGTTTGAGATTTAGATGGAATCTGGGTCCAACCAGCCTTCCTGTTGCAGTTTGACTGTGAATGTGTCAAAACGGCCAAAAATTAAACTCCTGAATTTCTTTGTCAAAGCAAGAACAGAACAAGGCCAGACCTGTGCTTTAATGTAAAATAGACAAAAAACAAATTCAGTTTGCCCTCAGGTGTTGAGAGGCGAGACAGGGAGGGGCCTTCCCGGGAAACCTGAAGGGGACACGTGCTTCTCACAGGGCTGTCATTCATCAATGGCACGGGCGTTGGCTGGGACGTGCTCCCCGAGACAGACCCCTGTGTCTGAGCACCCCACCAGCACCAGGGTCAGTCGGCCTCTGGCAGAGCAGAGGGGTCGCAGCCAGGGGCATCGCCCCTGAACCGCAGGGATGCCCGCCCTCAGTGGACTTTGTGCATCCCTCTGCCCTGCTGCTTCCAGGGGAGAAGGCAGGAGGAAGGGAGGAAGACACTTGCACATATTAGCAACAAAGGGCTTTGTTGGGAGAGTTCTTGCCACTCTTCAAAAGTTGGATAATTCCCGTGCTTCATAAACCATTACAGACCATAATGGCAAAAAAAAAAAAATCTCGATTTAGTTTTTAAATCTAACTTGATACCCCCCCCCCCAGTCTGTCTCCCAGTCTCCTCTAATTGCTGGCTCTGCCCCAGGCCAATGTCAGTGGTTTCTTCTCTCTCTCACTCGCACACACGCACACGCACACACCCACGCACACCTAGACCAGGCATGCAGCCCTCCTGAGGAGTAGCGGCCCTCTCCACCCCTCCCCAGTCCGGCCCCGGCCCCTCCTCCTGCAGCACCATGGCTCACAGCAGGGGCGGAACAGGAGGGGCACGAAAGCAAGAAGACATCAATCAGCCCAGAGCTGCTCTTAACTGTTTATTGAGAGGAGGGAAGGGTGCGGGGCCGGGGTTGGTGTGGATGCCGGCCTGAAGGGGGTGGCATCTTGCTCCCAGGCAGGGATACTCAGCCGCTGCTCAGCCCAAGAACGACAGGGCTCCCTGGAAGGAGAAGCCAAGAGTGAGTGCGTCCCCGGAGCAGGGGGGGCCCATGCAGCTGGAGGCTGTGGGGAGAGGCACCACTGATGCCCTGGCCAGGTTTCTGTGCGGGTCACACTGCCTGCTCTGCGGGGATGGACACGGGTGGTTTTTCCTGGATGGGCGCATCCCCGCCTTAACCCCCTTGGGCCCTCTGCCGTGGCACGTTGTTCAGATGTTGGCCCACCCAGCTCCCACCCAAGGCCGCTGAGCTCCCGGGGGTGGGGAAAAGGTGGTCCTGTCCTGGGTCTACAGGAGTGGAGGGCGAGCCTCCGCGGGGAAGGGCGGAGCACACAGCTCGGTGGCAGGTGCCCCCTTTACCAGCAGTGACTGCACGGCCCCCACAGCCTCGGGGCCCAGCTCAGTCACACACTTCCTGGAGCCCTCCACCAGGTGATGCACCGGGATGCCCAGACTGGTCAGCAAGAGCTTCAGAAGCATGAGGGAGCTGAAGCTGTTGAGGGAGGGAACGGGCAGTTCCCCAGCCAGGGCCCCGGCCCCAGCCTCCAGGGTCCCGGCCCCAGTCTTCAGGGCCCCTGTTCCAGCCTCCAGGGCAGGGGTGAGGACGGGCACGGCCGGGACCTCAGGCTTGACCTTCGAGCCTATGAAGAAGGCTGTGGCTGCAAACACAACAGAGAAGAGTCACTCACCTGTGCGTGCCCAGGCCCCCAGGGGAACTGCTGAGGGCCCCTGTCCTCCAGGAGGGGACCGGGGCCTTTGAGACCTTCCAGCACCCCTGGCCACCCACCCCCTCGCTCAGTGACTGCAGAGTGCTGTGGCCCAGCAGGGAGCTGGCTGCACACAGGGTCAGAGGCCCCCTGAGGGGGGTCTGGGCAGGCTTCCTAAGGAGGGGCACCGGGGCTGTGCCTTGCAGGGTAACACAGAGGGCAGGCAATGTTCCCCGCCCAGGCCAGGGCTCACACCAGCCCGAGGCCGGGAGAGCCTGCAGTTGGGGGAGGAAGAGAAACTGGGGCAAGCAGGCCTGAGAGGAGGCCTGAGGGCTCAGGCGGGGGACCCCACAGGACTGGCCTGAGGGGCCTGGTGCCCTCAGTGCAGCAGCAACAGGGTCAGGACTGGCTGGACTGGGGCCTCGGGGCCCGTGGCGAGTGGGGACTGTGGCTGGAGGACACTCACTGCACTGGCTGAGCAGAGCTACGCAGAGCACCAGGAAGGCAGCGGTGAACTTCATGGTGCAGGGGGCTCGGGGGATGCTCCTGGGGGATGCTCCTGGAACCGCAGACGCCTGCCCAGAGCCTGGTGCTGTGGGCTTCATATACCCCACCCTCGCCCCTCCCCAGGGCCGGGCCTCCTCCACCCAGTCCTCCTGAGAAAGGTGTTGTTTGCTCAGCTAATAGGCAAAGCCCTGGCCAATTTCCTGCTCAGGCTGGTGGGCCCTGGGAAGTTCAAGTCCCCCACCTGCGCTGGGTGCAGTACTTCCTCTTGGCCAGGTCCTCTGTGAGGGCCACAGCGAGGCTGGGCTTTGTCTGCACCAGGCCCACCAGGCCTCTGCCCTGCCCATGAGCTTCCTGGCCTGGCCTCCACAGTCTGGGGGTGGGGGGTGGAGGAAGGGGCAGAGCTGTGACCCCAGGCCCTCCCTGTTCCCAGGGCCTGGGAGGATCGTGCCGCTGGGCCTCCTGGCTCCTGCTGGTCCTGGGGAGGCCGTGCAGGTGGGGTGCTTGGGCCTCCTGGTGCCTCCCTGGGGGGGCCGTGGCAGCTATCAGTGCCAAGGGAAAGACCTGGGACATTTTCCATCTTTGAAAGTAGTCTTTTTTTTTTTTTTCTTGATTGATTTTTAAGAGAGAGAGAGAAATGTTGTTGATTTGTTGTTCCACTTACTGATGCACTCATTGGTTGATTTCTGTATGTGCCCTGACTGGGGATCAAACTCACAACCTTGGCCTGTCAGAAAGATGCTGTAAGGAACTGAGCTGCGGCCAGGGCTGAAATCGGTCCTGGCATGAGTTTCACACATCTGTCACCTGCAGAGCAAAATATGCTTAGCCTTAGTCCGTGACGTGGCTCACCAGGGGTCACGCCTTTTCAGGGAGAGTCCCAGGACACCCCCAACCCAGGTCACCAGGGGTCTCCAGCAGCCCCGCCCCGCCTGGAGCCCCTGGGGCTGCTCTCCGCAGGGCTCCGGGCTCCCAGCTTTTTTGCCTGCAGGGGGCAGCCTCACGCGACTGCCTCCCCGCCCCCCGCCCCCCCCCCCCCCGGGGCAGGGGTCCTGGAGCCTGGGGAAGGCCAAGGCGATTCGTGGTCAAGCCCTGCCGTGGCCGCAGGGCTCCAGAGGCTGGAGGCTGGTTTGGGGGCGACAAGAAATCGGCACAGGGGGGATGAGGACGGCGTGGATGTGGCCGAGCAGCTCATCCCAACGAGAACCCAGGCGACCGTGTCCGTCCCCTGCCCCTTCCTTTGGCAACAGGAGTCTCCGAGCATCACCTGGCCACACACAGGGCTACTGCGGCCCGCACCGCCATCCCTTCCGGAGCGTCCCCCGCCCGCCGCAGCTTGGTGGGGACACCTGCTCTCAGGAGAAGCTGCTGGGGCCATGGAGAATTGTCTGTAAGTTTTTTAAGTGTGTGTGTGCAGGTGGGGAGGGTGCTGGAATGTTCTTCGTTGTGCTCTTGTCCCTTTGAAATTTGGGAACAGGGGTCTTGGCAAGGGGCGTGGCCCCTGCCAGTGTGAGGTTGGGGGGTGGTATGGGCAGTTCCCAGGGATGCAGCTGAGGGACCTCAGAACCCTGGGGTCTCCTTTTGTTGTGGGGACCAGAGTCAGACATTCTTCAGGAACCAAGAATGGTGTGGGGGTGCTGGGTGGGGCTGCTCCCCTCCAGATGAAGCCCTGCCTGGGAGTGAGCCCCTGCACACCGGGCCTGAGCCATCAGCACAGGGGGCGGCACTGGGAGCCGACCTGGGGCTCCTGCCACTGAGCAGGCAGGACCGACCAGGATGGAGCCAGAGGCCGGGAGGAGGGGGAGGCCACCAGCTGTGTGTTCCCAGCAGCGCTGGCTTTCCAAGGGGTCCCCCGCAGTGTCCTCTTCCTGGGCCTCTTTATCCCTAAAACAACCCCCATCCCCACCATGGTCGGGCTTCCCATGAACCTGCGCAGTGAGGTAGGCCTCCTCGTATGCACCCCAAATTTCTGATTCCACAAGCATTAGTGGTGGAGGCCGGGACTCGGTCCGGGCCGGCCCAGCCCCTCGCCCCACACGGGGCCTCTGTGCCGCCCCTTCTGAGCCGCCCACAGCAGGGTCAGGGGCAGCTGGGGGGCAGGCCGAGCCTGGCGGCCAGCCTCTGCATTTGTGTCCTGAGGCAGCTAACGACTGACCACACGCTCGGGGGCTGAACACCTCCAGTGCTGGAACCACAGGCCAGTGTCGCCGGGCGGGGACCGAGGGTCTGTTGGGCTCCGGCCTCTGGGCTCCTGGAGGCCCCGCTCTGCTTGGCGGTGGCCGAGTCACTGCAGTCTCTCCCTGTGTGGTCCCAGGGCGCTCCTCCCACACCGCTCCCTCTCTGAACTCTCTCTCTCGGCCTCTCTATGATCACATGCAATTGTATTCAGGGCGCACCGAATAATCGAGGCTATAACCTCATCTCCAGATAATTACAGCGTCGCCTCTGCCAAGACTTTGTCTGTTACTGGTGGCCCAGGTTCAAGAGTTCGGTCCTGAGTAGCTGCGGGGTGCTCCTCAGCCCACCCTGCCCCAAGCTGGCCTTCCTCCCGTTCCAGGCCGGCGGGTGGGTGTCCCCACCCGTCTATGCTGGGAGCGGGTGCAGGGGGGCCCCGGGCCCTTTTGCTCACTTCCCTCCACTGGGCAGAGGCTGGGCTGACCTCGCGGTGCCCCTCTGCAGACTCGAAGCCAGCCTGTCCTGGGCAGTGTTTGCAGGGTCTCCTTGGTGCCAAGGCAAACACGGGCCCCTGGCTTGTTTCTCCGGGAAGGAGGCGCTCGGGGTAGATGGGAATGTAGGTGGCCCCGGGGCATGAGCCCGACAGCACACGGAACTGTGAAAGGGCCACGGGCTCAAGGGCCCTGAGAGCCGTGCTCGGGCGGGTGCGGCTGAGGCCAGTGCCGGCAGCTGGAGCCTGGGCCTCCCGTGTGGCTGACGTCAGCAAGCACCTTCAGAGGGTGTGTGGCAGTTGTCCCCGCTCCGTGACACAGGCAGCAAGGCCAGGAAACCCTTTGTGTCTGGCTGGGTCCACCAGGCACCCCCCCCCCCCAGGTCCTGGGAACTCCTTGGCCTCTTGTCTCTCTCCCTGCCAGACCCGCATCCCTGCTTCTGAGTCCGCTCGGTGGCCGAGAACCCCAGTCTCCCTCTTCGTGAGGATGTGGCTGCTCTGGGCCACACCTGTGGGCCCCGGTCCCGGCGATCAGCTTGGCTGCTGAGTGTCATTGGAGTTCTCCTGGCGCCCTGGAAGCCCCCGATGCCCACTCTGTGACCCATCATGGTGTGTCCCCTTGCAGCCCCTGGAGCTGGGGCTGGTGTGGCCGGCCCTGCGCAGCGCTACGGCCTGGGGTTCGGCACATGCCTGCAGTGTCACTCGAGCATTACCTGCTCCTGTTTAAGTCCACGTGGCCAGGGCCCACACAGGCCTGGGAACAGCGCCCTCCAGCTACGGGCGGTGGGCACGGGGGATGGGGGCAGCCTGCAGGGAGCCCCCCAGCAGCTTGTCTGGGGAGGCCCAGCCACTAGCCACCCTCCCAGGGAAGTCCTTCCGGGCCAGCAGCACAGCAGCCAGGAGGAGACCTGCCCTCCAGCCTCGAGTCATCACCCTGAGGACAGGCGGGCCGTGGGCATGTGCGGGGCTCTCTGTGGAGCCTGGACGTGGCCCTGAGAGGAGCAGGTCGGGGTCAGGGCTGGAGTGCGAGGGTGGCCGGGCTCACCTGCCAGGTGTGGAGCTGGTGCCCTGCCCAGGGGTCACACCATGACTTTGCCAGCACCCACCTCAGTTCCTTCCTCTTCCTCATAGCTCGGTCATCTGGGCCCTGGGGCTCTGGGCAGTGTCACCAGCGTGTCCTCTTCCTGCCTCTGTGGGCACCTTCACTTGGGTCAATATTGATCCGGCTGTGGGAGCACTTCCTTCTGCCCCTTCCCTGACCAGGGCCCTGCCTTGGGGGGTGGGGGCGGGGTCCGCTGCTGTGCACACGGTGTTTGCTGTGGGGGCCCCAGGCGAACGTGATTGGAAAGCACAACTGAACGGCAGGGCAGACCGAAAGCCCGTGTCTCCAGAGAGCTGCCTTCCTCGGGGTTACAAGCAGGGCAGGTGCAGGCTCAGGGTGACAGGCTGCTGTCTCCTGGGGCCTCCCTTGAGGTTACACGGCATCCCCTACTCTGAGTGGCTGTGCTGGCGGAGCCGTGTCCTGCACAGTTCGGTCCAGTTTACATGTGTGTGTCTGCCTGGGTTTGGGTGGGACCCCACCCCCATGGACTGAGGTGCGGCTGGTGCTGGTTCCCTGACTGTGGTGGGGTTGGCGGTGTGGGTCGTGTCACCCTCCCAAGGAAGAAACGTCGCTCAGAGCACCGGTGACCTTCACAAGGTCCCCTGGGTCTCTTCCCAGGCCTGGTGGGCTCAGGACCGGAAGACACCTGGGCTGGGAGGAGCCGCCTGCCAGGTGAGGGGTGTGGTCCCAGCCCAGACTCCAGACCACGGCCCCGCCCGCATAGCCATGTACTCATGGCCACCCCAAAGTGGGACCTGTTCGAAGCTGATCCCACACACTAAACCCCAGGGCGTAGCAGCAGTCTGCCCTGTCACTTCCATCCCTGAGAGGCCGCAGAAGGAGCCGTGGTACTTGGCTGTGCCCGGGGGCGGGGGGGGGCGGCTTGGGCTCCTCTGTTCTTGGGAAGAAGAGCAGACCTTTCCGAGGGGACCACGCTCGGTGGCCCAGCTGCACAGCAGCAGCTCTGACAGACTCAGGAGGGGCCCCAGGGCCCGGGAGCAGGGCTGACACGGCCCTGGGAGCCTTGCCCACCTTCGCGGAGGCTGCCCCGTCGCCTCCCAAATCCCCGGAGTCTCTCTCTCCTGGGGCTCCCTTGAGTTCCTCCCTCGGCCCCTGCAGTAGCCCCTTCGGACGCCCCACACCCACACGCTCTGAGGCACACTGTGCCACCTCCGCTCCAGCTGGAGAGCAGAGGGGGCTCTCTCCCTCCAAACGCAGACTCTGAAGGACAGTGGCACGTGCCAGCCACTGAGGTCCGGGACGGCGACACGCCGGGCCCTGCCGGCCGCAGT